TATAGTAAAATGAGAAAATTAGAAATATTTCAAACTGAATTATCAATATAGAACTACAGAATATTGAGAACTTTTATATGATTACTTTTCATATTTTAATTTCTCTTATGATATAACAAAATTAAATAATATATGATATTTAAATTAGTAATCAGAATTATAAGACATAATATGTTTATTTATTTATTTATAAAGAGTTCAAAGAATACATGTATCTAAGTTTTTACATAATTAATGGTAAATCCTTTATCTATATATACAATTAATTCCTCCAAAAGAGACTAATTTATAAATATAAAAAAAAAGACACTTAAATCAATTTTGGACCTTATTATGCTAAATAAAATTAAATGGACAATTATGCAGTTGAATAAATATTAAAATAATTAAATTCATAATTTATATTCCAATAAATATATGGATACTCATAAGATTTTTATTCATTGAATACTTTTTAAATAATATATATATATATAAAAGATTCTGAAGAAGTCTAATTAACCGTCATTAAGTACATTGCCTGAAACTGTAAACAAAGTAACATATGAATAACCTAAAAAATAATAAACCTTCTTTATATAGTGTTAAAAGTTTAACAATGATAATAATAGTGAAGAATACTCTTGTAACAATTTCCTATTGTATAAATATTTATTAAATTGTGATGAATAAAAAATTTCAAAAATTTTTTACTGTCTTAAAAATATTATTCAACTTAAAATTATAATAAATTATAAATTAAATAAGCAAAGGAACATAAGAGTTATAACATTTTTATACTTGACAATGTTTCCACAAACTCCTTTCTAATGTATACTTATACACAATTAATTATGGTGTTCGTTCAAATTCATTTTATTATAATTAATAAAAATTTTTAAATAATATAGATATATTCGCAGATATAAACAATTATAAATATAACTTGAATAAGAGATAGTCTTAATAATGCCTTTTAGGAAAATAATCGGTGCTAAAAGAAGAGAGAAAGACAGCTTTAGACATAGAGACATACCATGAGAGCCTAAATTTTAGTCTCAGTTATGATATGTTTATATATTTATACCTTTTACAATATTAATAATAGCATTCATGTAATATAAAATTAAAAATAAATTTAATTCATTATATACATTTGTTATAAAATTAATGTTACATTTAACTAATAATTAAGTATATATAATAAATTACTTTTGCATAAGGATATCACATTTTATCGTATATATAGTATACATCATTTAGTTAATTATTGCAACCAAAACTAAGTAATTTAAGAAAAATGCTAAAAAAAAAAAAGATAGTGATAATTCAATGGATTCTTTTGAAAATAAATACAATAATACAAAAAAGGCCCGAATTATATATAGATCAGTAGAATACTACTACTAATATAATAATAGTAAATTAATTAACGTTGTTTTATAATATAATAAGATTTACTGACATTTTGTAGGAAAATAAAATAATTATACTTAAAAAATTATTTGCATATAACAATAGTGGTATTTTAAGCATTCCCTAGTCTTTTTACAATATAGGGCGAATAAATTAAATAGAAAATATGAAATATTACAATACAATATGCTATAATTATAATACCTGTATTAAATTAAAAATATATGAAAATAAATCTCTATATATTATACATTACGCATAAATATATGAATGGAAATGACTCTTCAGGCATAATACAATAATTTTTTTCATAATATATAATTTGTGAAATGCACTAATATAATATTAGTTATGGATAAAATAAAGGGTGAATAATTACATTAAATAAGTAAAAGAAATAAAAAAGTAAGAATAGAAAAATAAATAAAATAATGTCTAATCAAATAAATAAATATATAAATAAATGTAAAATGTATATTTTCATAATTTTATTTTGAATAAATCATAATATATGATTGTTGTCACAACGTTATTGATTTAGTATGTCTATATATTACATATTATTATAATAATAGAAATAACATAACATTAAAAATGAATCCAGGAAAATTTTATTCATCTATTCATTAGCATAATTATGAAAATATAAATTTAATATTTTAAATTTCAGCAATAAGGACATATTCATATAATTTGTACAAAAATATATGCATCAGATATTTTATAGGATAATAATAATCATATTAATCAATATTATATATAAATTAAATTATTAAATTAATTAGTGATAAAAATGTTAGAAAACATATATATTTATATTATATAATCATTACATTATTTAAAATAATTTTTTAACATTGTGGTATATATAATGTATTCTATGCATATTTATCCCATATATATGTAAAAATGAATATGTTATACCGTGTAATAATCTATATAAATTTTGTTCTTATATATATATATTTTTTACCAATACCAGAAAAGAAAATATATTTGTGTAGTAAAATACACTATTGTATAAATTAGCTTTATGTATTATAAGAAGTTTTAACTTAAATAATTTCTTTAAATTTACTGTGATATAATAATAAATTATAACATAATAAAAAAAAATTCTGGAAATATAATAATAATATATATATATTTATATATATATAGGAAAAATATTTTGAATAAATTTAAATTAATGATTCCCAATAATGTATTATGTTTTCTTCAATTAATTTGCAAAACGCACTTGAAGAGATATACTCTAATTAAAATATATGATTTAATGATTATTAATAGTATAAATATATATGTAGATAAAATTGGATAATTAATAAATTTTTTTTACAATTTTAACATTTTACAATTATTATACCTATTTTTTATTTTGGACTCCATTAAAATTTTGCATACCTGTATTAGTTTGTAGTAATTCTACATATTTACATACACTAGATATATCCTACCTTTTATACATTTACATTGGTATAAAATACATATATTTTTCAAAACATTAATGTGTTATTTACAATGTTAACTTCTTTTTTGTTTCTCTTTCTTTTTTTTTATATTAATTAGAAAAAAATATTAAATGTCAATGTAATACTTGCAATAGTTATACACATACGATTTCTCCAAAAAGAAAGTATAACACTCACAATGTTTCCAACCGTATTTCAACAACTAATTTATTATGTGCACATATACAATCAGATAAATGATATTCGAATATTATTGTATTATTTCCCTCTAAGAGCTAATATTTTATTCTGTGAGTATTAGTGCTAATTTAACACACAATGCTTCTATCTCCAAATAAATTATTATAATGTATCGTGATTTCAGTAAATAAAAAAATGGTATATATATATATATTTAATTTTTTCTCTATTTTTGTATTAAAACGATTATTCTTCTATTTGTAGTTATAATTAAAAATTGCATTTTCATATATTATGGAAGTATTCTAGTTATAATAAATAGGCTTTTTTATTTTGTTATAATAAATCATATTAATATAATTAAATTTATTTTCTACAACTCAAATGTTATGTTGTGCTTATTAAGATAAAATAAATTGGATCAAGTAACTAATATTACCCATTTATTTGTTTCTGTTAATTTAATTATATGCTGTTTTATACCTATTATCAACTGAATTTTTGTATTCAAATTCACATGTGTCCATGAGACACAGATTATTTTTGTAATTTTTTTTTAATTTTTTTCTTAACCTCCTTACCCATGGTTGTAAAAATAAAAAATAAGGGGTATACTGAAAATAAATTTAATAATATTTTTATATCTCATTCTTTTATTTTATATAAATATTTTTAAATTATTCATAATATAAATTATAATACAACATAAATTTATTAAATTAATTTATTTTATCACCTTATACAAAATGAATACAATAACTAATATTACAAAAAATAAAAAACATATACCTCCACCACTACCTGCAGCAAAATCCGTATGTGTTTCTGTAACTGAAGCAAAATATTTTTGTCCTTCTGTGACCGCTAGTTTTTCTTTCGTTCCTGATACTACATTCAATACTCCATTAATGTATCCATCCTTAGTGAGATAATGATATTTAGGATCATTTTTTGGTAATGTATTCACATATGTTTTAAAAAGATCATCATAATTTTTCAACAATATTTTAATACTCTCACTATTATAAAATTCACATCCTTCTACGTATTTCATATGGGCTATAAATGCTTTAAGATCGGAATAATTTTTATGACCATAATAAAATTTATTATAACTCTTAACTAGTTCATCAAGTTTATCAAATATTTTAAATGTATTTTCATCAATATTTATAGAATAGTTTATACATATATCAAGTATTTTGGTATCAATATTATCTTTTTCTAGTTGTGTCATTTCTTTATAACAGTCATAAGTTTCTCCACAGTTACAATTATTGCTTTTCAGTAATAATTTTTTTAACTTGTAATAGAAATATTTGCAGCATATTTCTGGCTTCAACGTAGCTTTATTATTGTTTATGTGATCTAAATATACACTCAAAACCTGGCATCATTGTACAAAATTCGTAGTCGAAGAAGCTTCTTTTGTTACATTAAGACGAAAATCACTACATAATTTTGTAAAATTATTAGCCCTATGCTGATCACTATAATTCTGATAAATTCCCCATTTGAAATCCTTTGTACATGTAGAAAATATAGCATTAAAATCGAACTAAAAATGAATGTTACATTATATAAAATATTAAAAATTTTTTTATAAAAAAAATAATTGCGCTAGGTTTTCGGTAAACAATATATTTTATAAATATATTAACAATTAATAACTTTAATAAACATATGAAGCATACGACATTACTCTGTTCCTTAGCATCACTCATCACATTTCAATTATTTTAATTATTAAATATGGATCATTATATCTAATATAAAAAAACCTATTTATTAAAAATGTCAGAATAAGTATTTTATTCATATCATATGTAGTAATCCATGAAATGAATTCATTTTTACATTAAATAAAAACTCTTGTTAATTTATTTATATATTTAAATATATTTAGTATTATATTTTCTGTATAAGTAGATTATTTTTAAAAAAAAATTACAAAAATCAAAAATAAAAGCATGTTATTGGATGAAATAAATAAGGTTAACTTAACAATAATTTATTTTTAATACTATTATATTTATAAGGATATTTTAATCAAATTGTCATATCATGTAATAAATTAAATTGATTATGTAACATAATCAATAATTTTATAATATAATACTTTTTTATAAATATTTAATTACTATATCAATTATATATATATATATATCTATAAGTTTTGTATTATTTCCTTTTATATCACGCTTTAAGATTCAATGTATATTATCCGTATAGTTCATTAAATATAATTTTTATCATTTAAGTTCTAAATCAATTAGTTTTATCAATTTTTATTTTTGTAATTTTTATTTTCATTAAACTTTTATAAAAATATTAAGAATAAAAAAATCAATATAACTTAAATTTATATGATATATATAAAAATAAGGATATAATATTAGTTAATAATTTATTATTACAAATAAAAATTAATATGTTTATGTGCTACATTATAAGTAAAAATATTTAATTATATATATATATATTTACATAAGAATGTATTATTCATAGATTATTTTATCTTATATCGATTTTTCAATGATTTTGATTACATATACAATGAAAATTATAAAATAAAATTTCATATAGTGTATTATATATTATATAAAAATAT